TCAAGCTGTAATTCTTCTAAATTCCCTACCTAACCTACTCCAATTTTGTAGAACATTAAAATTGTAGGCAGTCACTTAAATTAAGAGGTTGTAGAAGCATACACAGCTAAGGATAGAGAGAACAAAATAACATTAGGCAGTGATGGGGAAGGTCTCATGGTAAGGGGTAGATCAGAAAAGAGAAACTGGAAAAAGGGGGGACAAATAGGAATAGATCTAAGTCCAAACTGGGAAGTGGAAGTGTTTTTTCTGTCACAAAGAAGGGCATCTTGGAGGACTCTGAGAGGAAAAATAAGAAAAAGCATGGAAATAGGAAGAAGAGGGCAGTGCTAGTGTTGTTCTGAAGGTTATGAAAGTTCAGAAGTTTTAGTCATCTCTGAAAGTAAAAACATTGAGAATGGATCTTAGCACAGGATGTACCTACCACATGACACCAAATAGGGAGTGGTTTAGCTCTTTTCAAACTATAGATGGTGGAAAGGTTGTGATGGGAAATAATGCAGTATGTGGCATAAGGCATAGGTACTGTTAAGCTAAGCCTTCACAATGGCCTAACCAAAACTCTCACTGATGTAAGATACATCCCTGACCTAAGAGAAATCTAATATCACTAGGTACCCTAGACTCAATAGGACTAAGTTACAAAGCTTCAAGTGGATGTCTTAGTGTAATGAAAGGGTCATTAATAGTGATGAAAGGTGAAAAGAAAAATGGTCTCTATGTGTTAAAGGGTAGGACAGATTATGGCATAGCTGCTGTAGGTCTCTATTAACACAGGATAAAACCTCACTGTGGCATCAAAGGTTGGCACATGTTAGTAAAAGAGGGTTAGATGAGTTGAGTAAACGAACCTGTTGGAGGGGATCAAACTGGAAATTACCTTCTGTGAACACTGTATTTTTGGCAAATGTGCAGGGTAAAATTTGGATCTGTAAGCATTACTCAAGCTCACCACTTGAGTATGTTCACTCGATGTATGGGACCGCTAGACACTACTCACTAGGAGGCTGTAGGTATTTCATTAGTTTTGTGGATGATTATTCTAGGCATGTCTGGATATATTTTCTGAAGACTAAGGATGAGCATTTCTTAGTGTTAAGGAATGGAAAATAATGGTTGAAACTCAATCTGGGAAGAAACTTAAAAGGCTTAGGACGGATAAGGTCTTGAGTTTGTGAATGATGAATTCAATAGTTTCTGTAAAAACCATGGAATTGTTAGGCACAAAACTGTTAGAAATACCCCACAGCAGAATGGCCTCTGTGAAAGGATGAATAGGACCATCCTAGACAAAGTTAGAGCATCCTGTCAAACTCTAACTACTTGTAAATTTGGGCAGAAGCTGCACATACTGTGGTGTATTTAATTAATAGAACCCCTTCATCTGCCATAGGTTTCAAGGTACCCTTAGAAAAATGGACTGGACACCCTATAAAGTTGGACAACTTAAGAGTTTTCGGGTGTCTATCTTATGTTCATGTAAAGATGATAAGCTGAAACCTAGAGCTGTAAAGTGTCTGTTTCTTGGATATCCAGAGGGAGTAAAAAGCTATAAGTTCTGGAATCTAGAAACCAAGAAGTGTATAATCAGTAAGGATGTGGTTTTTAGGAAGAAGTCCTTCCTGGACTAGAATGTGAACCTGAAAATCAGTTGATAGTGGCTCAGACAAATCAGTTGATAGTGACTCAGGATCAGACCTTTTAGAACTGGAAATTCAGGATGTAGTTACTAATCATCAAGGTGGAGCTGATGAAACAGAGGAGAATCTTGAAAATCCTAATACAGATGAGTTGATGAGCAAGGAGAACAGGAACTAGACTTGATACCTATCAGCTAGCTAGGGATGAACCAGGAGGTCATTAACCTCCCAACAACTAGGATATGCAGATCTGGTAGCTTATGCACTTCAGGTAGAAGAAGAGCTAATGATGAGCCTAAAACATTTCAGGAAGCTATCTTAGGACCTGATAAAACTGAGTGGAAAAGGGCAATTGAGAGAATTCAGTTCCTTAATGAAAAACAATACATGGATCCTAGTTGATAAACCAGAAAACTGCAGGGTGGTTAAGGGCAAGTGGATCTTCAAAAGGAAACCAGGTCTAACCCCAAAAGACCCACCTAGGTATAGGCTAGACTGGTTGCAAAGGATTACTCAAGTGGAAGGCATAGACTATAATGAAATATCTCCCCATTTGTAAAGCATGCTTCAATCAAATTCTGATTTCTCTGGTTGTACAGTTCAATCTGGAACTGGAGCAACTGGATGTAAAACAGCCTTTTTACATGGTGACTTGGAAGAGATATTCTAATGGAGCAGCCAGAGGGATATTCAGGACCAGCAGGTAAAGTTTGTCTTCTTAGAAAATCACTTTATGGCTTAAAACAGTCACCACGACAGTGGTATAAGAAATTTGACTCTTTATGATTGAAATTGGCTTTAATAGATGTCAATTTGATAGCTGTTTTTATTTTAAAAGAATTCTGATTTGTCTTATACTTACTTATTGCTTTATGTGGATGACATGTTGGTTGCTTGCCATGACAAAACTGAGATTATTCGTTGAAGAAAATTCTCAATACCAAGTTTGAAATGAAGGAGCTGGGTCAGCTCAAAAGATTCTTGGTATTACCATCATAAGAGACAGAATGCAGGAAGATTGAAGCTGGTTCAAGAAGAATATGCAGAGAAAATTCTACAGAAATTTAATATGCAATGCTAAGGCTGTCCAAACTCCCCTAGGCACACATAAAGCTTTCTCATGACATGCCCAAAACAGAAGAAGAGCAAAAGGAATGTCCACCATTCCATATGCAATGCCCTGGGCAGTCTATGTACCTAATGGTTTGCACCAGGCCAGATTGGCATATTCTGTGAGTTTAGTAAGTAGATTCATGAGTAATGCAGGAAGACTCCATTGGTCTGCACTCAAATGGTTTGAGATACTTACAAGGATCAAATCTGTGGGCATAGTTTTTAGTAAGAACAAGGAAGAAAAATACTGCATTAGAGGTTATGTTGATGCTGATTATGCAGGGGCCTTGATAAGAGAAAGTCCACTTCAGATTGTGTTTTTACCTGTGGGAAATGTGATTAGCTGGAAGTCAAAGCTTCAGCATATGGTTACTCTCTCATCAACAGAATCTGAATATGTAGCCTTGACAGAAGCATCAAAGGAAGCGTATGGCTTAAGGGTTTTGTGAATGAATTGGAGCTGGACAGAAAATTGTGGAGATCAAAAGTGACAGTCAAGTACAATATATCTGTCCAAGAACCAAGTCTTCCATGAGAGGACAAAACACATAGATGTAAGAATGCATTTCATCAGAGAATTGATTGAAAAAGGAGAAGTCAAGGTTGAGAAGATAGAGGAACTCACAACCCTGCAGACATGCTCACCAAACTAGTCACTGCAATAAACATAGGCTCTGTAGGAGCCTAGTACATGTTCAAGCATAATTCAGTTTTGCCAAGGCCACTTAGGGTGTCAATTCACAACCAAGTGTGAGAATTGTGATGATGAGTGGCTTGTGTATGCCACGGTGGAGTCAGCATCAGTCAAAGAAGTCAGCCTTAAAATTAACCAATACGGCAGCGTTTCACAGCCATCAGTTTTAAGTGCCTTATCGGGCACACGAATTTCATTCTGTTGCAAAGATCGCAGCTCCTTTACGCCTTCTCTGGTTCATTCTCAGCCCTACAGCAAAGATTCTAGTGCTCCTTTGCTCTAACAAACTGCAGATTTTTCTGGACAGCTAGAGGATGATCAATGGAGTCCTGATCTGTATAAAATCAAATCTTTTGTGCTGAAGAAAAACAGAGTTTTCAGAGGGATATTTCGGGTGTGTTCTTTCTTGTTTTTCCTGGTTGTTTACTCTTTGTAATCTTGGTTTCCTTGAGTAATAAAATACCCTATAGTGTGCCTTGAAGAGTGGATGTAGGCTACCTTAGCCGAACCACTATAAATCCCCTGTGTCAATTGTTTTTTCTGTTATTTCATGGTTTTCTTAATCTCTACTTTGATTGCTTGTTGATTGATAAGATCGTGTTAGCTCATTGATTGATTTGATATGCATAACTGAAAGCCCTAATTAGTCACTACATAAATAATGTTCATTGTCTATAATAAATTCATTGTACTTATTTACTTAATTAAATAATATTTATTGTATATAATTGCATTAATTTAATTAAATGTATTCAACAAAAAACTCTGTGTGCATAATTTAATTGAATTAAATGTATTCATTGTACTTAATATTTTTAATTGTATTAAATGTATTCAACGAATTAGATTAAAAATAATCTTTATACTTTATAAACAAATACAATGTCTTATTATATTTCATAATTATAATGGGTTCCCATCTAAAATTGTTAAAAAATCAATCATGACAGATTTAATAAAATATCATAGTCAATTAGCAAATTATTTATTTATGATATGAATGAGATTATAGAGTTATGTAAGGTTTTCCAGAAAAGTATTATTTTATTAATTTATTGAAATAATCAATTTAACCTACTAGCTCAAATCGGGACCGTAAGAAATTATTATATAATAAAGGTTATTAATTTATCGAGTATTAATTTATAGAGGTTATACTGTATAGGGTTAAAGAATATACCCCCCTGAGGTAATATAAAATAACAAAAATCCCCTTTTCGTTAATATACTATTAGTTGATCATTAAATTTTCCTTGTTAGAAGTTCATAAATATTACCAAGTTGCCTCTCTACCCTTTTTTTTTAACACCCAAACCTTAAAGGCAGGGGTACTTTTGTTATTTCTGAAACCTCAAAGAATTATTTGTTACTTTATCAAACTTTTCGTCAATGTCATTAATTATAATATACACACTTTTATGAAATAGTTGTGTAAATATTATGATTAATGTATCTGAAATTTAAACATTCAAAACATAACTCTACTTCAAATAGTTCTTCTTCCAAGCAACAACAAATATTGAACTAATACATTATTAGTTCATAAGTCTTAATTAAATAGGAATTGGATGAATGATAAGCTTGGTGATGTAATCTTTCAAAGCCTCTGGGCATGTAACTGCATCTTTTTCCTTGTAGAGAATTTCTATTACGCGCGCACTATTGACAAGTGTAATTAGGACTTTTGATGACACAGCTGTTGGCTTCATGCACTCCTTATTCAGATCCTTCCATCCATCACTCATAATTCTCTTAAACTTTTCAACTGTTTCCTCTTTCGAGATGTCATATTCCTTCATGCAACACTCCACGGTAGAGGCAACATGTCCCCTCTTTTGCTCATCCTTCAAATATCAATTTATAATTAATTAGATACATACAAATTCAATATATTTATAGGGTCGGAATTTAGTCTAGTTTTTATATATTACTTCTTTAAGCAAGTTCTACTGTGTTACACGAATTGATATTGCTACAAACAAATTAAAGATTGAAATTTCATATATATATATATATAAAATACCTCGTGAGATACAATATCACACTGGAGACGGCCGATTATATATGCAGCTCTAACAATTTTAGGGCCGCTCTTCAGCCATTCAAATTCTTTAATCCCTACAGCTCCCATTCCAACAAAATAAGTTGCTGCATAGAAGGAAATACTACCAGCTGGGGCTAACTCACTGTTCAAACGTTCCTCAAATGGCGGGACAAAGCCTTTACGGAACCATTCAGCCTCAAGAAGGGAGACTTTCAGCAGGTCCTTTATCTGAATATTATAAACGAAGTATATAAATAAATAACAAACATATACACATGAGATGGAATACTCATTAAGAGTTAATTTCTCTACGCAGACTTTATCTCTGATTTTTCATCCAAAATGGTTTCTATTTATGTTACAATGTTTTCATAAAAATAATGTGATGATGTGGTATATACCTAACAAGGTTATTGCTGTTAATTTGTAATAAAAAATTTCCATGCTACAGAGGTTGCACAAACACAAAAGTTTCTTTTCTTTTGTGAATGTCTAATTTTTTTTTATATAGTTCACGAAGTGACCAAGGTAACTGAATTCTTGGTAGTGAATTGCCCATCTACTTTTAATAGAATCCTAAGGCGACCTCTGTTGAGAAACTTTAAGGCAGTCACTTCGATATACCATCTGAAAATGAAGTTCCCCACCCTGACGGGGATAAGGGAAGTCAGCGGATCTCAACGCCCATCTCGCGACTGTTATATGAAAGTAGTATAGATGACATGCAAAAGGAAAGGTATCTCGTGCAACATTCCCCGACAGGCAATGGCGATCAGTCGGATCGAGCCACAGCCCAGCCCAATCGAGGATAATATGGATCCTCGTATTCAGGAATGCCCTTCTAGTGGACCAGTTGAGGATCTTTCTAAAGTATCGGTCGACTAGAGCGAGCCGAGCAGAGTGTTAAGGATTGGGAGCAATCTCAACCCCCAGCTCGCCACCAAACTGATCAGCTTCCTCAGATAGAATATCGATGTGTTCGCATGGTCACATGCGGATATGGTCGGGATTAGCTCGAATATTATTTGCCATGCATTGAACATCGACAATGTAGCCAAGCTGGTTCAAAAAAAGAGAAGAGCGATGGACCCGGAGCGATATGCTGCCTTAAAACTTGAGGTGGATAACCTAATTTGAAATGGATCCAACCGAGAAACGCTCTATCCGACTTGGGTTGCCAACCGGTCCTAGTGAAGAAACCTAATGGCAAATGGCGAACCTGCGTCAACTTCACCGACCTCAACAAGGCATGCCCAAAAGATAGTTTTCCCCTGCCCAAGATCGACCAGCTCATGGATGCCACCTCAGGGCACGAGCTGCTGAGTTTTATGGACGCGTACTATGGATACAATCACATTTCGATGTACACGTCAGACGAAGAGCATACATCCTTTGTTACAGATCGGGGGTTGTACTGCTATAGAGTTATGCCCTTTGGCCTCAAGAATGCTGGCGTAACTTACCAGCAGTTGGTTAACTGAATTTCTCCAAACAGATTGGAAGATCGATGGAGGTCTATATGGATGACATGCTAGTCAAGTCGCATGTCGCTTCAGATCACATAACGCATCTCGCTGAGATGTTCGACATCCTCCGACAGTACGGAATGAAGCTAAACTCCTTCAAGTGCTCATTTAGAGTATCCTCGGAAAAATTCCTAGGATACATGGTTAACCAACGGGGAATTGAGATCAACCCCGAGAAAATCCAAGCCCTTTTTGACATAAAAAGCCCGAGCAACAAAAAGCAAGTCATGAGCCTGAATGGGCGAATAGCGGTGCTAAGTCGCTTCATATCAAGGGCAACAGATCACTGCTTGCCATTCTTCAATGTTCTAAGGGCCAATAAAAAGTTCGAGTGGACTCCCGAGTGTGAACAGGTATTCCAGAATATTAAAGAACACCTCGAAAAGCCACTTCTTCTGTCCAAGCCTCTCCCACAAGAGATCCTCCTCTTGTACCTGTCCGTCTCTCAGTTCACGGTCAGTGCAACCTTAATTTGGGAAGAGGATAAGGTCTAATGGCCAGTATATTACACGAGCAAGCGTCTGTTAGATGCTGAGATGCGGTATTTGAAAATGGAACGATTAGCTTATGCCCTGCTGATCACTTCCAAGAAGTTGTGACCTTACTTCCATGCTCATATGATCCATGTAATGACCAATTACTCGCTCAAGCAGGTCCTCCAGAAATTAGAGGCATCGGGTAAATTATTATAATGGGCCATGAAATTAAGTCAGTTCGATCTGAAGTACAGACTGGGAGCAACTATCAAAGGGCAGGCTGTTGCTGACTTCATATCAAAATTCTCACATCATCCAATGAATGAGTCGGAGCAACAGTCCAGCGAAGTCATTTAGACAACTGCTCAAAATCTATCGACCTGGAGACTCTACGTCGATGGATCATCGAATAGAAAGAGGGCCGAGGCGGGTCTTCTCCTTTTGAGTCTCGTAGGGGCTCACATTCATGGCATTCTCCGGTTTTGTTTTAAGGCAACCAATAATGAGACCGAGTACGAAGTTCTGCTCTTTGGACTACGGTTAGCCAGAGAAATGGGTGCTACTGCGATCAGTATCCACAGTGACTCCATGTTGGTTGTTAACCAGATTTGGGGGGAATACCAAGCTGAGGAGAAAAATATGATCAGCTATCTAGAGAAAGCTAAGGTCACACTCGAGCCGTTCAAGCACTTCACGATCACACAGATTCCTAGAGATAACAACTCTGTGGCAGATGCCTTGGCAAGAATAGCCTCGTCATTGGACTTAGATGCACTGGAGAGCATTCCTGTTCGACCCATCGAGATCCCCAGTATCAGTCTGATCAAACAGACCATGAATGTAACAAAACCAGATTCATGGATGGCCCCTATCACTCGGTATCTCGGAGATGGAACCTTGCCTGACGAAAAGGTCTAAGCAAGGACCATCTGAACAAGATCTGCTCGTTATACCCTCATCAGAGACCAGCTATACAGGCGAGGGTTTAGCGCCCCTCTCCTCTGATGTGTAAACAGCGAAGAGGCAGATTACATCATGAGGGAGATACATGAAGGGATCTGTGGTAATCACGTCGCTGCACGGTCTCTCACCAATAAAGTTGTTCGTCAAGGGTACTACTGGCCCCTAATCCAAGAAGACGCCTACAACTTTGTCAAGAAGTGTGACAAGTGCCAACGGTTCGCGAACATACCGCAGGCTCCCTCCTACCAACTAATAACTATGACTAGCCTCTGGCCTTTCTCCATGTGGGGGATTGATCTCATCGGTCCCCTGTCAGTTGGTAAAGGAGGAGTAAAATATGTCATGGTCGCGGTGGATTACTTTACCAAATGGATCAAAGCCGAACCATTAGTCGCGATCATGACCAGAAAGCTCAAGGACTTCATCTTCAAAAACATCGTGTGCTGCTATGGGATTCCTCATACCCTTATATCCGACAACGAAAAGCAATTCGATAACGAGCTGGGTATTTACAAAAAACTAACTAAGGTTCTCTCTATTTCTCAATTTCAAGAACTCAAACAAAACTAACTGTTACTGAAGTTAAGGCCTCTTGACATAACCTTTTGTCCTGTCATGTTGCAGTTGTTATTCCTTCCAGAATTTGTGTATTTTTTTCATGATGCAGCTATTATTCTTTCCAGAATTTGTGTATTTTTTTTCATGATGCAGCTATTATTCCTTCCAGAATTTGTGTATTTTTTTAGAAGAATTGATATCTTTCAATGAAGGAGTGTTGTAGAGGAGTATTATGCAGAGTAGTGTTGTGCAGAAATGATGATTTTGTTTTGTCATGTTTGTCATGAAGGAGTTCTACAGAGAAGTGTTTATGCAGAGTAGTGTTCTGAAGTATTATGTGGGGAAGTGTTTATAAAGAGTAGTGTTGTGAAGTATTATGCAGAGTAGTGTTCTGTAGAGTGATGTTAATCACTACTATTAAAATGTAGATTTAAGTTGCTATTTTTAGAGTGATGCAGTGCACTATTCAGATTCTTTTTCAGTTCATTAAGTTCAGTTGGTATGCAGAGGAATGCTTTACAGAGTAATGTTATGTAGAGTGATGCAGTTCCTTTTTCATATGCAGATTTAATTTCAGTTGGCTGAGTTCAGTTATTATGTTGAGAAGTGTTATACAAAATAGTGTTATGCAAAGTAATGTAGTTCACTATCTAGATATAGAGCTTCAATTTTGGTTTTGCTTCTTCAGTTGTTTGATTTTGCTTGCAACTCTAATTTCATTAGTTTAGGAGTAAAGCTCATATTCGTAATTCAATTGCATCAGCTCAGATCAAGTTATCTGGCATTAATACAGCCTAGTTAACTCAACTAAGTCTTCAGCAGTCTTGATAAAAGCTTAGTTGAATCAATGTTTTTGATCCAATATAGACAAGTTGGTTGAGAGTAGTCCAGTCTACAAAGGCATGTTGGCCACAAATATAAAAAAGAACTTTATAGGTAAACAACTGCAGTTTAGTTTAAGAGGGAGTGTTGGTAAGAGGCTGAAAAGAGCAATAATTAAAAGGTTGAGGAATCAATCTGTAATTTCTCCTATTTCTCTCACAAAGAAAGGTGTCGTTTTTGTATACTCAATAGCTCTTATCTTAGCGTACTCAGTCTCTCCAGCTTTGTATATAAATCTCCAATCGTGTAATCTCACTCTCTTAAGTTCAATAATACAGATTCTTTCCAAAGTAATCTAGAATTTTGGTTTTTCTTTCAATTCCTTCACATTTCCAATGCAATAGCGAAAAGAAAAAAAAAATTAACCCCTTTAAAAGGACCTGGTATTAGCTAGCTATTTATTATTACAAAAATTTTCTTATTATATGTTTTATTAGTTCTCCTACATAAGATAAATCTATCGTGCATGGTTAAAACGTGAGATGTTCTGCTAGATAGTCTTTTTCTATATTCAATATTCAGTGTTTTTTTTTTTGTTATTTAATTTGTTGTCAACAGATTAGGTTAGGTTTTCTTCTATCTTGTCATTTCATGCTGATTCCATATCTTTTTTCATATAAGCCTTGTTGCTCTTTATTTACCATTAATTAATGTTTATGCCAAAGAATTTTTCCTTAATATCTTTTTTTTTTCTTGTTGAATGACAAAAGTAATTTGTAACATGTTTAAAATGAAAACAGATATTCTTTTCCATGCCTAACACCACTCTAAAAATGAAGATGGCATTTTTTTTATGAATCCTCTAATCTAAACATCAAATTCTATTCTCAAGACTTTGTTTGCTTGCAAACGATTTGGAGTGTTGATCATAATGACTCATCAACCGGTCAGTGGTTTATGTTGCTCCCCCTTCCTGGGCGTCCCTATTAGGGTTTGTTCAACGAGGCGAGCCGCTGTTAGAGTAGGTGCCCTAGAGCCAATCAATTATTGTAGAATTGACTCTTTGTAATAATGTTCATTGGTCAATAAAGACATTTTATTCTATATCGCGTAAATCATTATGATGTATTGATATATTTCCTTAGAATGGTAGAACCGTGACGAGGGTATCAAGTGTTTTAAATCTTGATAGTGAGACCCTTATGACACACATGGTGGCATTCTAGAAACGTCTTAGCCCTAGTATTATTCTGAAGTAAGGGCACAGATAATATGGTAGACTATCATACTGTTGAATGAGCATGTCGAAAGGCATTGACTATCTCACTTGTCAAGGTTGTTTGGTAACAACCTGGTGCAACACATGGGTGCTTGCTGTAGGCAAGTTCAGTGGACTGGCTCACCAGAGGATTCCTATGGATGGTAACCCCAATGTCTATGGAACAAATCCTCTACCGAATGGTGGGTGCATGTGATCCTTAGACTTGAATCACCAGAACGCCTTATGCACGATTGGTGTAGTTTGATACTAGCCCAACGCAGTTCTATTCAGAGCTGTCAATATAGACAGTAGTGATTGGCTGCATCAAGGAGTGTATCAGACTATGGTGGATCGACAGAGGATTCATCACTTTCAAGTACAGGGGAAGTTATCTCACGGTGCAATTCAGTAAAGACGATGACACTAAAATTGTGGCCACAATGGGATTGAGTTGTGTTTCGATCCAGTTTATAATTCAAGTCATTGGTCTATAACTGAATACATAATATCAAGAGCAACTGAGATTGACACTATTTCTATGCCTCGGTCTCGTAGAGATAATAGATGATGAAAGGATTGGTTGTATGGTAACCTCGTTGACAAGTAGCTGCTTCACTATCTGAATCTATCGAGTAGCCATGATGTCTTGCTAGGGGCCAATCTTGGTCGTGTGTAGTGAGACGATTAATTGGTGTTGATCGTGATACTACACACTACCGGTATGATAAGCAGCCTATGGGTCACACCCTAGAAAATAATTTAAGAGCCAGTTTATAAGAAGGCATTTTCGTCTTTTAGGTGAAAGGGTATTTGATAATTTCACATTGCAATTAATTTGTTGAGGTCGTAGCTTTATTTAATTTGTTAATAAAATTAATAAGTGAAATTATATTTAAATATGTGTCCGCATATTTTTAAATGAATTTTGTTAGTGTTAATATTAATATTGAGATATATATATATATATATATATATATATATATATTATATATATATATATATATATATATTGAATTTAATTGAAATAATAATAATAATAATTAAAATATCTAAATGGTCCTGTTTGGACATAGGGGTTGTTTGGGTTGGTGCCCAAGCCTATTCCATGATAGAATAGGGCATAGTATGCACTATATAAGTGCAACACTTTGTGAATTAATCAATTCAATTCATTTCATTCACAAAATTAAAACCCCCTGCCCCCTTTTTCTCTCCCATGCCATATTGTTTTGGTGCTTGAAACAAAATTTAGCTTGATTTTGTTCTTGGTTCTTAAGGCTAAAGAGGATCTAGCAAATCTCTCTTTAGTTCATTGGGGTTATCTTCGTGTGGACTAACGGTGGTTCGATCCTACCCTTGGATCGATAGCGAAACCCATTCAGAGATAAGTTAACGTGCGTATGGTATCTTAACTTTAAATTGATTTTCCTGCAGATTTGTATTTAATGTACAGATTGTTAAATTTGTGCCCTGATCTTGGTTCTAAGGAACGATCTATGTTGTATATGATTTTTGTTTTCTACTGCCATGACTTGATCGTTTCCTAATAGCCGCTCGCGAGCCGACTTGGCTTGGCTCGAGTACTGCTCGTTAACGACTCGCCTCATCTGGAATCGAGCAGGCTCAGCTCGACTCGTTAGGCTCACGAACCGAGCCAGGCTCAAATTATTAGGGGTGTTTTAGGGGTTTTATTAAGTATAGGGGATTAAACTAAAATTTTTAAAACAAAAAGTTTGCAAAAATGACAAAGAACACCCTGATGTTAAAATCCCTAAAAAAAGGAGACTAAAATCCTTTCCCATAAAACCAAACCAAATCAAACCATTTTAGGCAAGTTGTCGGTGTCAGATTTGGTGGAGAGTGTAGTGAAACAAGGAGAAAGAATGAAAGAAAGAAAGAAAGAGAAAATAGGAAAAACAGGCGTCTTTAGAGAGAGAGTAAAGAAGAGAAAGCAAAGAGTAATAATTAACAAAAGAGAAGAGGAAGAGAATTCAGAGTTGGTGGAGACTAGAGAGAGAAAGGGAAATAGGGAGAAAGAAAGAAAGAAAGGGAAAAAAAAACTGTGAGCCATTGGAGTCTGGAGAAAGAGAAAAGAAGAGAAATCAAATCAATAATAAATTAGAGGGGAAAAGAAGTGAAAGAGAAAGAGTAATAAATGACAAAGAGAGAAAAGAAAGAGTAATAAATCAGAGAGAG